TTGGGGATGATGATGATGATGACGATGATGAGAGGGGTTTCGGTTTCGTTTGGTGGAGCTGTGGGAGTGAGGAGGCCCGTGCCAGGGACCCCCGGGGTGAGATCCGGTGGAAGGTATGCCGCGAGGACCGCAGGCGCGTCGGCGACCCCTCGCCGCCCGCTCGCTCGCGCCTCAAGCCAGGGTCGGAGGGCCTCGTGGAGGGTGGGGGTGGCGACGCCGAACTCGTCCGTGGACATGGACGTGGACGTGGACACGGCCCTCGAGAACGAGTTGAAGGAGAACGGCTTCCGTTCGACCAGGAGGACCAAGCTGGTCTGCACCATCGGGCCCGCCACCAGCGGGTACAGGGAGCTCGAGCAGCTGGCGCAGAACGGCATGAACGTGGCGAGGCTGAACATGTGTCACGGGAGCCACGAGTGGCACAGGGAGGTGATCCAGAGGATAAGGAAGCTCAACCAGGAGCTTGGTTACTCTTTGGCGATTATGGTCGACACCGAAGGCAGCGAGGTCCACATAGGGGACATCGCGGAGCCCAGTCGGGTCGACATGGACGACAGGTGGACTTTCACCATCCGTTCCCTCGACGCGGAGAGCGTTGGGCCCGGGCCCTCGGACCACCCCGAGGACGGCGCCGGGGAGCCTGGCGGCCAGCCTGAGGCGAAGCGCCCCCGAATCGCGTCGGTGAGCTACGACGGCTTCTCCGAGGACGTGAGCGTCGGGGACGAGATTCTGGTGGACGGGGGGATGGTGAACTTCCGAGTCGTGTCCTTGCAGGGTCCTGACGTGATCTGCGAGTGCATCGAGCCAGGCATTCTCCTCCCGAAAGCGAACTTGACCTTCAGGAGGGACGGCGTGCCGGTGAGGGCGAGGAACTCGATGCTCCCGACGATCAGCGCGAAGGACTGGCTGGACATCGATTTTGCCATCGAGAACGAAGTGGACTTGATCGCGATCTCCTTTGTGAAGACGGCGGACACCGTGAAACACCTGAGGTCTTACCTGACGTCCAAATGCATGCCGAAGCAGGACGGTCCCGGCGCGGGAACGAGGGCCGCTCCGGGCGTCGTCTCCAAGATCGAGAGCAGTGATTCGCTGCGGAACCTGGACGACATCGTCGCGGCAAGCGATGCCGTCATGGTGGCCAGGGGAGATCTGGGGTCGCAAATCCCCCTGGAAGACGTTCCCGTGGTGCAACAGCAGATCACCACGGCATGCAGGCGCCTCAACAAGCCGTGCATTGTTGCCAGCCACCTGCTCAGGTCCATGCTCGAGCACCCAACCCCGACAAGAGCCGAGGTGGCTGACATCGCTGATGTGGTGCAGCAGAGGGCGGACGCGCTTATGCTTAGCGGGGAGTCCGCGGCTGGGCTTCACCCCATGAAGAGCCTCGAGGTGCTCAGAGCTGTTGCCGTGAGGACCGAGCAGCAGCAGAGCATGCTGGGGGCTTCCAGTGGAGGGGACGGGACGGAACAAGAGCAGATCAGCGAGGGCATCTGCTCGAGCGCTGCAAACCTGGCAGAGCAACTGGGAGCGGCTGCCATCTTCGTGTACACGAAGAGGGGGTACATGGCAAGCCTCGTGAGCCGGTGCAGGCCGTCGTGCCCCATCTTCGCCTTCACGGACACAAACGCGGTCAGGAGGAAGATGAATCTCCTTTGGGGGATCATCCCTTTTGGCCTCCCCCTGGACGCCAACCCAGAGAAGACGGTGGAGCGCACCTTCAAGCTTTTGCGCGCCAGGGACCTGATCAAGGAGGGTCAGCTGGTCGTCGTCGTCAGCGACGTCGGCCCGACGGCGGACGTCATCCGCAGCATCCAGGTCCGCTACGTCACCAAGGACGGGTCTCTGTAATCCTTGTTGTTGTTTTCTCAATCCTTGGAAAAGAGCATTGTTACAATTAAAGAATTATTGCAAGAGCATCTGAAGAGGGTTCTCTAGCAGGTTCTTGAACTTCTGGAGCCACTTGGCTCCAACCGCACCGTCCACCACGCGGTGGTCGCAAGACAGCGTGACGCTCATCACCTTTGCCTCCCTGAAGCCGTCCGGGCCATCCTTCTTCACCTCGCTTCTCACCCCCCCGACCGCCAAAATGCACGACTGGGGCGGGTTCACGATCGCGGCGAACTGCTTCACTCCCATCATCCCCAGGTTAGACACCGTGAAGGTACCACCGTCCATCTCCTCCGGAGTGAGGCGCATCTTCCCATCCACCCCATCCGCGGGCTTGGCCCGGGCCGCGTAGTCCTTGACCACGCTCGATATGGAGGCCACCCCCTTGAGCTGCACGTTCTTGACGACCGGCACCACGAGCCCGCCTTGGGTGTGGCCGAGGGACCCGAGGTCCATCGCCACCCCGACGTGGACGTTCTTGTGCAGCCTGATCGCGTCGTCCCTCCACTCTGCGTTGCACTCCGGGACCTCCTGGCACGCCAAGGCGCAGGCCTTGATGACAAAGTCGTTCAGGGAGACCTTCCCCATCTTCTCCGCGACGGAGGCGTTGACGCTTGACCTCAGGGACATGAGAGCGCCCACCTCGCAGTCCATGGTGAGGTAGTAATGGGGGATCGTCTGTTTGGACATGAGGAGGCGCTGGGCGATCACCCTCCGCATTTGGGAGACCTCGACGTCCTCGTAGGCGTCCGGAACGTTGTCGTCCCCAGCAGCACCCGCGTGCGTCGCTTGGCGGGGCGCGGACTCCTCGTACTCCGCCACGTCGGCCGCGATGACCCTGCCCCCAGGACCGGTCCCGGCGACGAGGGAGAGGTCCACGTTCCCGTCCCTGGCCATCGCCCTGGCCTTGGGGCTCGCCAGGACGTGGCCCGAGGGGTGCGTGCGAGGAGCCTGCGAGGAGGAGGACATGGGGGCCGCGGCCTTTGCCGCCGGCCTTGCCTTCTCCTTCTTCGCCTCCTGGGGCGGCGCCGGGGCGGAGGGGGCCTCCTGGTCCCCCTCGTTCGCCAGCATCTCCGGCGTGACGTCCTTGAACGCCCCCATGTCCTCCTCCTCCTCGCAGACTATGGCCACGGGCCTGCCTATCTCTATGTCCGACGTCCCGGCTTGCACGAGCACCTTGGCGAGGAAGCCCCCGTCCACGGCCTCCCACTCGATGGTCGCCTTGTCGGTCTCCACCTCGGCGAGGATCTCCCCCGCCTCGATCGCGTCGCCCTCCTTCTTCGACCAGGAAGACAGGCTCCCCTGGGTCATGGTCGGGGAGAGCGAGGGCATGCCGAGCACGGTGTGTGGGGGGAGGGCGAGGGCGAGGGACGAGGGCGCCGCCGACGAGGGAGAGGAGGTTGATTGGGAGGGCTCCTCCTCCTGGGCGGGCTGCTCCGACGCCGCGGCGGGGGAGTACGACTCGAACTTCCCCACGTCCCCCTCCTCCTCGCACAGCACGGCCACCAGCGTGCCCACGGGGACGTCCTTGGCCCCGTCCTGCAAAAAAATCTTGGCCAGGTAGCCCTCCTCCACGGACTCCCACTCTATCGTCGCCTTGTCCGTCTCCACCTCGGCGAGCACGTCCCCCGCGGCGACCTTGTGGTGGTTTTGTTGATGATGACGACGAACGGTGTGTTTTAGGTGACGTTGGGTGGAGTTGGGTGGAGTGGCAGTAGCAGTGGCAGTAGTAGTGGCAGTAGTAGTGGTGGTGGTGTCACGACGACGACGACGACGACGACGACGAAGAGGGTGGAAGAAGGAAAGAAAGAAAGAAAGAAAGAAGAGTCAGTGTGTGTGTGTGTGTGTGTGTGTGAGAAGAAGATGTGAAGAAGTATCATCTCAGAGAGAGACGGGAGAGACGGGATGCTGCTTGGGTGGCTCGCTTACCTGGTCCCCTTCGGCCTTCTTCCAGCCGGCAATGTTTCCCTGGGACATGGTTGGCGACAGGGACGGCATATCCAAAGTGATGTGAGGCGGGTACTCCTCGGTCGTCGTGGAAAAAAAGCGAGGGGCAACAACAACCCTCTGGAGGAGGCACGACGACGACGGACGCAAGACCCGAGTCGTCGCCGCCGACGACGTCCGCACCAGCGAGCGCACCACCCAAGCCATGGCAGCCATGGTTGGCACAGAGAGGAGAGCGAAGTCTCCTTTGGGTTGCGCGCGCGGGTGTCTGACCAGAAACGAAGGAAAGGGAAGGAGGGAGGGAGCGAGAATTTTTTTGCTTTTGCTTTTTTCTCTGTATGACATTATTATGTTGGGCTTTGGCCCTTGTCCTGGAAGGCCTTGGACCACCTCGCGAGAACGTCCCCGACGTCGGCCCTCATGAGCATGCCGGACCCGCCCCACACGAGCCGGTCCACGAGCTCCACGTGCCACGGGCTCTGATCCTCGTCCACGCCCCCGACCTCCCTGACCCTCTCGAATCCCATCCGCTCGTAGTACCGGACAAGCTTGGAGAACTGGTACGAGTTGTCGTTGATCGCCAGGAGCTCCGCGGTCCTGCACCCCCGGTCCCTGAGCTCGCACAGGGCGAACACGCCCATCACCAAGCCGGTGCCGAAGGCCCCGGCGGACGCCCCGGACGCCCGCAGGGAGGACGACGGCACCACGCGCATCTCGTCGAAGTGGACGTACCCGCTGGCCGGGACGAAGAACCCCGTGATGTGCCCGACCTCGACGACGACGCCGGGAGAAGAAGAGGAGGTCGAGGAGGTCGAGGAGGTCGAGGAGGTCGTCGTGGTCGCGGTCACCCGGAAGGCCGGGCCGAGGCCGGCGTACTCCAGGCGGAGGTTCCTCCGCTCCGCGGAGGCCACGACGCGGGCGACGTCAAGATGCTGTCCACAACGACGGCGACGTTCGTGCCCGTGCTCGTGCTGAGGAGGCGTGGAGGGCCGCCTCGTCGCCCGCCGCCCCCGGGTGGTCGTCGACCTCGCCCTCGTCGTCGTCATGGGAACGGGAACGGGCACGACGACGAGGGCGAGGGCCAGCAGCAGACCGACCCCGATCCCGATCGTCGGGGTGGCGCAACAGTACTTGTAGTCGAAAAGCTCTTGTTATGGGACAAAGACCTGTTAGCTCAGTGGATCAGAGCGCTAGACTTCGAATCTAGAGGTCGCGGGTTCGACCCCCGTACAGGTCTTTCAATCTTGCTCCGTGAGACAATGATTCGGTTAGAGACGTTAGTTATACCCAAGGACAACGAGATCGTTGATCGTAACGGCGGAGGACGGCGAGGAGGTGTGTGACCTGGCGGGAGCTGGGAGAGGACCATGGTCTGGGTCAAGCACCACCGACGAAGAAGGGGAGGGCTCCCGAATGGGGCGAAGGGGAGAAGCAAATCATACTGACTTATGTTATCCCACGGGAGAAGTGGCGACCCTAAACTGGTTGCCGCCGAGGCCGAAGAAGAGGAGACTGACGAATACTGGGTCCTCCACGTCCGACGTCGCGACGTCGTCATGTGAAGAAGGGGCTGGTGACGCCACCCCGGCCGCGGTTCTCCAGGTGGGTGGCGCCCAAGGATTGTGGTGCCCAATGTCTCTGTCTTCACCCAATTGCAGGGCAGCGGGCAGCCGTGCGGCGCGGTGGCACTCGGAACAAGCCTGGACACCAACGCTTGCACAGTGGCCCTGGCGACCTCCGCGGGACCTCATAGGCAGCGGGAGATGGCCGCCATCGAGGAGAACGCGGATCCGACGACGCTTCTCAATGCGGATGGACTTCTTGCCTCTCTTCGCTTCGCAGACGAATTAGCTGGCGCGCAGCCCACCCTTGCACGCGAGGGTACACGGGCGGAGCGAACTCGCGAGCCTGAGGAGCTGACCCTGGTCCGCGTGGTCCGAGGCCGTGGCGGAGTCCACCTGGAGCGCGTTGAGGGCTTGAAAGGACTGACCCACTTCATCGTCTTCCTCCGCGAGTCCATTGTGCAGGAGGGGCTTGGGAACAAGCTCGCTGGTCAGGCGGCCACGATCTCAAGCGCTTTGCTCGGCAAAGATCTTCCTGAACAGGTGACTACCTTGCTGAGCGCGCAGGGCAGGCCTCTATACTGGCGTGCATCCCGACGCCCCACGCAGCAACTTTGATTGGGGAGGAAAAGAAAGAGGAGCTCAAAAAGTACATGAGCAAGGCTGCAAGCACCTCGGACGGGCAAGCCGTGTACGCGGCGTCGCACTACATGCCCAAGTCCGGCGCCACCCGTTATATTATATTACACGCTACTTAATCCCTCGACTCGCCCTGAGCTCGGAATTGTAGCAGTTCCGGAACAAGGTTCCTAAATCCATCCAAACACCGATCCTCCCCCAGGCACCGAAGCCGAGCTCACCCGCCGAAAACCTCAGCAGGGCCACGAATCCAGATCTCCTCCCTCGTCCTCCAGAAGGAGAAGGAACGAACGCCAACGACGAACTCTTACGGCGTCCCGACGGCACACTAACGAACAGTGCGAACACCCTAAACGAACAGCGCGATGAGGAGGACGGCGTCGGCGGCGACGCGAGGGAGGGCGGCGGCACCGCGGTGCCCCCCCGCCACGAGTCACCCCGCCGCGAGTCTCAGGGGGAGGCAGCGGCACCCCCCCCACACACACACACACTGCGCTCGCCCCCTCCGGGCGACCACGGACACCCCCTCCTCGCCGTCGTCGTCAGCACCCGACAACGCCACCGACGACGCCGAGACCAGCTCGTCGCGTCGCGTCGGGGTCCTGCTCCTGAACCTGGGCGGTCCCGAGACTCTGGACGACGTGCAGGAGTTCCTGTACAACCTGTTCGCGGACCCGGACATCTTGAGGCTGCCGGACGCGGTGGGGTGGGCCCAGCCCCTGCTTGCCTCCGTGGTGTCGTACGCCAGGGCGCCGACCTCCCAGGAGGGGTACAAGGCCATCGGCGGCGGGTCGCCCATCAGGAGGACGACCGAGGAGCAGGCCCGGGCCCTGCAGGGGGCGATGCGGGCGCAGGACGTGGACGCCAAGTGCTACGTCGCGATGAGGTACTGGAACCCCTTCACGGAGGAGGCCATCGAGAGGGTGAAGAGGGACCGGATCACCGACCTGGTGATCCTGCCCCTGTACCCGCAGTTCTCCGTGTCCACGTCCGGGTCCTCCCTCAGGCTCCTGGAGAAGATCTTCAAGGAGGACCCCGCCCTCAAGGACCTGAGGCACACGGTGATCCCGTCCTGGTACCAGAGGAGGGGGTACGTGTGCGCCATGGCCAACCTGATCGAGAGGGAGATCCTGGCGTTCGACGCGTGCAAGCAGTCGGCCAAGAAGGGCCTGAGCTCCCGCAAGGCCCACGTCTTCTTCTCCGCGCACGGGGTCCCCAAGTCTTACGTCACGGAGGCCGGGGACCCGTACAAGGAGGAGATGGAGGAGACCGTGGACCTCATCGTGGAGGAGCTCAGGGGCAGGGGGATCGAGTACAACGGCCACACGCTGGCGTACCAGTCGAGGGTCGGACCCGTGGAGTGGCTGGAGCCCTACACGGGCGACTCCATCAGGTACCTCGCGAACCAGGGGGTGGAGGCCCTCGTCGTCGTGCCCATCTCCTTTGTGAGCGAGCACATCGAGACCCTGGAAGAGATCGACATGGAGTACAGGGAGGTCGCCGAGGACTGCGGGATCCAGGGCTGGAGGAGGGTCCCCGCCCTGGGGTGCGACGAGGTCTTCATCTCCGACCTCGCGAGCGCCGCGATCGAGGCCCTGCCCTACGCCCTGCCCAACATGGGGAACGTGGCGTACGAGGCCGACCTGAGGGACCCCCAGACCCCCGCGCTCCTGAAGCAGTCGGGGAGCCTGGTCCCCATGGGGAGCGTGGACGCCCTGCTGGAGACGTACGACGGGGACAGGAAGGTCCTGCCCCTGCCGGAGGTCTCCCTCGAGTGGGAGTGGGGCTGGACCCGGTCCGCGGAGCTCGTGAACGGGAGGCTGGCCATGATGGCCCTGCTGACCATCATCATCTTCGAGATCGCGACGGGGAAGGCGGCCTTCCTGCTTGAAGCCGTGGAGGACGCCGTGTAAATAATTAAACTAAGTTTTGGTGCCGTGCGGGGTGTATGTGGGGGGGTAGGGGGGGAAAGGACCGCGCGCGCATGCATTTTTCCTTCTTTTCTCTGTGATAATACACGGACGTGTTACAAGTGTTTTCTATGTTGCGTTTTTTGGAACTCCTCTATGATATTCGTCGCCCCCTCCTCCTCCTCCTTCCTTCGCTCCGCCTTAAATACTAGAAAAAAATACAAACATACCTTCCTTCTTCTTCTTCTTCTCCTTCTTGTTCTTCTACCCCACAACCCACACACAGGCAATCCTGCAACACAAACAACAAACGGCGGATCACAAGAAGTAGTCCGGAACCATGCGCTTGATCTCCGTTCCGCTTCCTCTTGGAGGCGCGTGCTCGAACTGCAGGAACTTGCAGTTGAGGTGCTCGTCAATCTCGCAGATTGCGGCCAGGTTTCCACACCTGTAGCAGTAGTTCGGCGCGCTGAAGACCGTCACGACGCTGCCCTCGTGCACCCAGCAGTACCCGTCCGACACGAGCTGGTGGGCCCTCATGATGAACTTGAGGCCGTTCGTGTGGGTGAACTGCTCGCTCACGTCCTGCCCGAAAGTGTACCCCGCTCCTCTTGGGGACAGCCCCCAACCAGGCCTCTCGTCGGGGTCGCTCCAAAGCAAGTCGCACATGGGGCCCTCGTGGGGAACCTCCTCGAATCGAGAGAGCTGGTCGATGTTGCTGATGGTGTTCAGGCCCGGGGACAGGCCCGCGTGGGGGCAGAAGAGCTGGTTTTCTACTATGGCCGCGAGGGGCAAGAAGTCAAAAAGGTCCGTCACCATCTTCCAAACGTTCGCCGTCCCGTATTTTCTCAGGCACTCGTCATAAAACCCGTAGACTTGCGTGATTTGCCTGCTCTCGTGGTTGCCCCTGATGATCGTCACCCTCTTCGGGTACCTCGCCTTGAGGGCGAGCACGATCTGCACCGTCTCGACCGAGTAGTACCCTCTGTCCACGTAGTCTCCGAGGAACAGAAAGTTGGTGTTGGGCGCCGTGCCCGCTATCTTGAAGAGCTCCATTACGTCGTGGTACTGCCCGTGCACGTCCCCGACGACCGTCACCGGACAGCTCACGGGCGTCACGTTAGGCTCCGTCTCAAGGATCTCCTTGCACTTCTTGCACAGGGCCTCTACGTCCTCCTCCGAGAGCAGCTTGCACTCCATGAGGTTGTTGATGTGGTTGTCCAGCTCGCTCGCATCCGCCAGCGACAATATGTCCTTCTCTCCCATCTCGTCCTCTCTCCTTGACCCTCACGCGCACACGCACAACCACGGTCTTTGGCCCTGGGGTACAACTAGAAAGGTAAGGCAAGGTTCTTCTCGCGCGCGCCCCCGAAAGCCTCGCCTTCAAAAGAAGCACAAGTGTTTCACACAAACCCGAGCCGGCCCAGACCAGAGACAGAGTCACGAACTCGCCAAGGATCCTCACTCAATCCCCCCCTCGTGCGTCCCTCGTTCCCTTGGCGCGCCAACACAAGTGGTGTTTTCCGCCTCCGCCTCTCTCTCTCTCTCTTGCCCCTTTCAAATCCCTTGTCCAAAAACGAAGGGGGAAGGGTTTGAAAGGGAGAGAGAGAGAGAAATTTCTTGTTCGCTGGACTCGGGGGCCAGCTCTGGTCTGCTCTCTATTTTTTTGGGGGGGGGAAGGAGTATCCATCGAACAGCTGGGAGGGGATGCTGGGGAGCAATCCGCGAAGCCAATCCAAGCCTCGTGCCTCCTGGTGGTGGTGGCCTCCTGGTGGTGTGTGGCCTCCTGGTGGTGAACTTTGCGCAGCGCAAAGTTAAACCAAAGATGGATGATGATTTCAAAGGTATGCTTATGCTTATGCTTATGTATATGTTATATGAAGTTCTCCCTGCTGCCTGCTAAAGGTCCGCGAAGAAGGCGGACCGCTCCGCGTGCTTCTGACCCTTGAAACCGCCCTTCTGCTTCCCCTTCTTGTGCTTCTTCCTCTGCGGGCGAGGGCGATCCGCGTCCTCCGAGTCCGAGCCCTCCTCCTCGGCCTTGGCGTCCTCCCCGTCGTCGCTCTCGTCCTCGTCCAGGAGCTCGCCCACGGACCACACCTTGACGACGTTGTCGTGGGAGATGCTGT